AGGGAGCCCACCACCAAGGCCATAACTCCAAAAGCCCTCCCACTGTTGCCCCCCCCCCGCCCCAAGCACCAAGGATACAGAGCACACTGGCCATGAACTTGCAGCAAAATCAATGCTCAGTGCGTAAGTGGTTCATTGCTGCACGCCTTCCCCCGTGCAGAGATGGGGCAGCTCCAAGAAGGAAAGATGGCACACTCAAAACATCCAGAACGTGGAATGTATTGAACACACAGAGATTGCTCTCTTGAAGTATTTGAAGGGCTGTCACTCAGAGGAGGCGCAGGGAGCTGTTCCTGTGGGCAGCAGAGGAGAGGACTCGCAAGAATGGGTTTAAATTAAGGGCGGGGAGGTACCGGCTGGATCTTAGGAAAAAACGTTTTGGCAGTAAGAGTTGTGCCACAGTGGGATCAGCTGCCTGGGGGGGTGGTGAGCTCCCCCTCACTGGCTGTTGTCAAGCAGCAGCTGGACAAACCCTTGTTGGAGATGCTCTAGGCCAGTGGTGGCGAACCTTTGGCACGGGTGCCAGAGGTGGCACTCAAAGCCCTCTCTGTGGGCACGTGTGCCATCGCCCCAGCCAGGCCCAGACCGTCATTAAAGTGTCGAATTCTCGGCCAAATAATTTTAAGTAAATGAAAGCATTTGGGATTGCTTTCCTTACTTTGTTTGGATCATCTTAAGTTAATGTATGAGTTATTTTTTTCTAAAGAAAAACTTCAGTATTCAGGTTAAATTGCCGTGTTGGCACTTTGCGATAAATAAGTGGGTTTTGGGTCGCAGTTTGGGCACTCGGTCTCTAAAAGGTTCGCCATCACTGCTCTAGGCTAATCCTGCACTGAGCAGGGGGTATAAAGGGGCAGGTGGCCTGTCTGGCCCCTTCCAACTCTGTGATTCTATGATTGTATGAGTCTACACAGACACAGAGATGGATTCTGCACCTTATAAAGAGAGTCTGCCTGTTATTATACAGCAGAACCACGGAGGTATGCGAAAACTCAGCGAGCTGCGACCGTCCTACACTTGAGGGAATCAGAACCTAACTGGCCCTGGCTGGAGATTCTGAAAATTTTCCAAAACAACTTTCGACCCTGACTGTCTAGGTCCCAGTGGCAGCTGCTGAGCCACAAAAAAAGCATTAGCTAGGAGTCCTGGCAGTTTGGGAACTCCTAAAGAATAATAAAGTGTTACTAGATATGGATAAAAATGTTATTAGGAACTGACGTCTAGATTCCACCCCATGTGGCTTTATTGGGGGTGGGGAATGTCTAGGGCGTGTCCACGTTTAGAAGCTTGCTTGGAAGCCAGCATGGTGTCGTGGTTAAG